CATATATTTGTCATCCTGTTAAGATATATTTGGGAAATTAGCTCAAGAAAATTGATTCCTTGGTCCTTTTGTTTCATAAAAGATCTCATTTTCACCTAGCTGGTTTTTTTGTTGTTGTTGTTAATGGTGAAAAAAAACAAACCCATGCTTTTCTCCCCTTTGTTTTAGATAGCAAATCATCAAATTAAATTGTATATTTCTTGTTGTGTATATATTTACTAGTTATCTAAAACAGACAATTTTAAAGCAAGTCTTGGTTTATGAAAAGAATGTGAAAATGTATGGGCAATTGTCATCAAATCACAAAACTGGAAAAAAAGCCATTCAACCATTAAGTCCAACCTCTACATAATGTAGGAATTAAAATTAAAGCATCCAGGAAAGATGATTGCTTGAATATATCCAGTGAAAGGGAAGCCACTATCTCCCTGGATAATTGGTTCTATTGTCAGACTTATCTTACTGTTATAGAGATGCTTTTTAAAAACACAAACAAAAAATCAAAATTTGCCTTCCAGTAACTTAAATTCATAATTCCATGTTCTGTACTCAGAAAGGAAGAAAACAGATTTTGACCTTTTTCTGTGTGACAGCCTTTCGGATATTTGAAAAGTGCTATCACGTCCCCCTGTCAGTTGTCTTTTCTTAAGGTTAAACATCCCCTAGTAAAACTAAGAACAGGTTTACCTGTTCAGAAAATACAACTGCATTAGAATACTGTTTTTCAACTCTATTTTAAAGTTAATGTCTATTTTAAAGTTAAAATTAAGGTAATATAATAAGATAAATTACTAATTAAAGGATGATCATTCATATCATATTTTGTTGCATCATAAAGTATTGCTAAGTATTTGATCTATTCTCTATAAGTAACGAGATAAAACAGCATTTCAAGCAAGAGAAATATCATTATCCTGATATTTGAATCTCACTTATGGCTTTGCTAGAGTTGCTTTGTTGCATATAAAATAAGTAAGTAAGTAAATATGTAAGTAGCCAGGTTTACTATAAGAAAAGCACAACATCTTCTTCAATAATATAATTACTCCAGATAAATACACAATATTTCCTTTCATCTGTGAAAAATTGTGAAAGGAAGAAAGAAAGAAAGAAAGAAAGAAAGAAAGAAAGAAAGAAAGAAAAAGAAAGAGAAACTATATATTTTTTTTCTAAAACTTAGTTTTATTTTTCCATTCTTTACTTTAAATTCAATCAAACTTTCAGCTTCATCCTATTCCATCCTGACAATAATGAATAGAGTGGTCCCTTTAGATTCATCTATTTTGAATTATATATTTGTTAGCCAAATACAAAGTATTAAATTGCATTTTGTATTGATTTGTATCCAAGTATGGACTGAAAATTGCAATAACTATTTAAGAATAAGAAAAAGAAAAATCTTATTGTTCTATTCTAGCTTTAAAGACACTTAACCAAATGTACCATCATTGGTTTATGTAGCCAAGGTCAATTCTAAAATAATGATCATATGCAAACATCTATACATGCACACATACTACACATATGAATTTTGAAGAAATTATATGAACAATATATTTTCCATAAAGAATATCATGATTCATGGAAGGCATTCATTATTTTATTCATTGGCCATAGTCCTCAGATGAAAAGTCAATAGTGGGAAAGAGAGTCACTTGGAAAGAAAGTCACTTTTCTCCATCTTCAGAAAATTATTTTGCTTCCTTCCTTCCTTCCTTCCTTCCTTCCTTCCTTCCTTCCTTCCTTCCTTCCTTCCTTCCTTCCTTCCTTCCTTCCTTCCTTCCTTCCTTCCTTCCTTCCTCCCAACATGCCTGTTTCAGAATATCAGCCTTGGACAAAAAAAAAAAAAATAACTGAAAAGATAAGTTATAAATATCAACAGAAAAAATAATGTCTCTCAATATTTTTAGTAATATATTTCTCAAATGCTTTGAAATTGTACAGACAAAAGATGCATGTTAATTATTCCCAAATAATAATGTATAAATGATTTAAGAAATGTGCTTTCTCTTTTTTAACATAAAAAAGTCCCTGGTTGTTGTTGGGTTTTTTTGCATTTATGGAGACTCTCAGCTTTTGTGCCTGTTGCCAGTTTCAGAAATGTTAGTAATGTTCTGAGGGCTACATTCAAAATTGTCAAGAAAGAAAACTACTTCTATTAAATAGTAGGATATTACAGAAGTAATTGATGGCAAAAGCAATAATGAAATTTGTAATGTGGAATGTAACTTGCTTGAATGTTTCATCCACATAAAAATAGTTGTAAAGAAAAAAAAAGCTGACTTCATCTTTTTAAAAAGAAACTCACTTAAGAAAACAAGATGGTATCAGTTTAAAAGCATTAGGATAGGAAGGAGTTAGCAAAACAGTCATACAACAGCAAGGGTTTAAAGGGTGTGATGGATTTGATAATAAGCACAATTTAAAAAGTCAATATGATGAAATGGTTTAAAACATACTCAAACTTTTTTTCAGTCTTCATTTGTACAGGACTTTCATTTGGTTGCTTAGCATACCTATCTTAAACAAGCATTTCCCATTGCAGTACTTTGTTCCTTTTGAAGATACATTCATGAATTATTTGTAGTTTAGTGTGGTCAGTCAGTGGAAATAATAAGGTAACTGCAATGTCATGTAAATGCATAGAAGACATTAAAAAAAGACCAACTACAAATCAGTATTATGATAATGTTACTTTTAAGAAAAGGAAACTATATTAAAGCATTCTAGAGAGATAGTGGTCCTTGAACACATCCAGTCTAAGGAACTCACCGGTTCTCTGGGTAACTGGATTCATTTTTAAATTCCTCTTCCTGTTAGGAACTTTTTTTGTTTTGTTTTATTTGGTGTTCTGTTTTATTTTGCTACTGTAATTACATTAAATACTTCTCTTCTCTCGACAATTTTGTGTTACTTTCTTATTCTGCAAAGAATTGGACATGATATTCTGGGAGTTTTTGATCAACAGAGAATAAACTGATTCTTTTTTTCACTATCAGTTAAAAACTGATTTTATTGATGCAGTCTAAAACCTGCTTTTTTTCAGTTACATCATTCTGCTGATTGCTATTCAATTTGACATCAGTTTTTATTCTAAGGTGTTTTTCACAATGCTATCAGCATAGATGGCCACTTTTAACCACAATGATATAAAACAAGTGAAACATGATATCAGACTATAACACTTAAGTTTGCATTATGATTGCAAGGTATACATGTGAGCAATGTGTCCTTTGCTTTCCTGAGAAGTTCTTTGACTATGTCTGGCTACTTAGTTCCTATCCTATATTGCAGTGTTTCTCAACCTGTGGGTCGGGACCCCATTTGGGGTCGAACAACCATTTCACAGGGGTCGCCAAACAACGCAGTCCGCCATTTTTTCCCCCTTTTCCTTAGCTGTGCTACTCCCTTTTATTCTATTAGCTTTTGAAAGCCAATAGAATAGACTCTCTTGAATAGAGTCTAATTCTATTGGCTTTCAAAAGCCAATAGGAATTGTCCAGGCTGTCTCTGCCCTGCTGAGCCCGCCAAAAGTCCCATTCTGCAAACGGTGCTGCACCAGTTGAGTAGTCCTCGACTTACAACCGGTTGAGTAGTCCTCGACTTACGACTGGTTGGGGGTCTGGCATTAAAAAGATTGAGAACCACTGCTATACTGTATGTGTATATTAATTTAAGTTTACCAAGTCATTATTTTGCATTTATATCTATTATCTTTAGATATCTACATTGGTTTGAATTGTATTTTTGTTGTCTAAACAGGTATCCCATTCAAATTTGGGTAATCCAAATTTGTTATCTTAACATACTAATCAAAAATAAAAAGCAAAAAAACTGAAAGTATAATCTAAGCTCAAACTGCCTAATCAGAATATCCATACTTGGAGTTCTTTATCAAATACTTGGATGAAATTAAGACATATTATTCCCAAAAGCACTCCCACAATCAATCACAAAGTTACCAGTATTGCCAGATTGATTAGCCTCTAGCTTTCAAGATTCTTCTTTTTTACCCTTCCTGAAGATAGGCACATCATTTGTCCTCTTACAATTGCATGATGCTTTTTGACTATGGGCTTTGTTAATTGTTGGCTAGGTTCCAAATAACTTACAGGTCTAGGTGATACAGCTCTAATTCTATTTTAACTAGAATTTTTATATACAAAGGAAATTATTCAGGTCAGGGCACAATTTGACATTCCAGGCAAAATTACTCTAACTTGAATCATTTCAGAATTCAAGATTTGAACATTATAAAGTTTGGAATGAAAGCATCAAAAGACAGCCTGTTTTATTTTTCTCCTAGGATAGGGTGAAAATAGCAGACTCTCTAGAGCAGTGGTTCTCAACCTTTTTAATGCTGCGACCCCCAACCGGTCATAAGTCGAGGACTACTCAACCGGTCGTAAGTCGAGGACTACTCAACTGGTGCAGCAACGTTTGCAGAATGAGACTTTTGGCGGGCTCAGCAGAGCAGAGACAGCCTGGACAATTCCTATTGGCTTTTGAAAGCCAATAGAATTAGACTCTATTCAAGAGAGTCTATTCTATTGGCTTTCAAAAGCCAATAGAATAAAAGGGAGTAACACAGCTAAGGAAAAGGGGGAAAAAATGACAGACTGCGTTGTTTGGCGACCCCTGTGAAATAGTCGTTCGACCCCAAATGGGGTCTCGACCCACAGGTTGAGAACCACTGCTCTAGAGGTATGTAATATTATCAGATTTCAGACAGATATCTAAAACAGCTACACTGTAGTAGCTACCTACCTTTCTCTTTTAAAGCTGAGACAAGGATTAAAATATATTTATAAATTTAGCAGCTTGAAATTATCCAGCAAAGATTCTTTTTTTTATTACTTTATAATATAAAATACAAAAGTACAAAAGAAAATAATAGGAAAAATAGGAAAGGAAAAAGGAAAGGGAAAAGTGTAGAAAAGAAAGAGGGGAAAAAAGAAAAGGGGTTGATTTCTGACTCTCTTTGGTGCAGTGGAATAAGATAATTTCTAACAAAGTGGTCATTAAAATCAAACATTTACTTTAACCTTGTCATACCATAAATAACAATGTCATCCAATTCATGACCTTCTAGATGAAGTAGCCTCTTATTCTGGAGATTCACCCACTCTTTTAGCCAGATCAAACAACCAGCAAAAATTCTGTAAAGAAGTTGCTTTGTATTAATACAGTATCCTACTTCAATTTAAAATAATAAAAAAAAAATCTTTCAAATGTTATAAAAATAAGGTCTTGCTTTTTTACTTATTTGTTTTGAAAGCAATGAGTTCAAGGTCCAGTACTTTTCCTCAGTGCCCAAGTTAATAAATTTGATGAAGCAAGAATTATTATAAGAATAACTACTTTGCTTCCTATTCTCCTTAACACATATGCCAAAAGCATTCAAAAGTCATTGTTTCATTCTTCCTATTCAGTTATTGTGGTCAGTGTAATTGTTTGTAGCTGGCTTTATTCAATCTCATAAATAAATAAATAAATAAATAAATAAACAAACAAACAAACAAATAAACAAGTAAGTAAATAAGTAAGTAAGTAAGTCTGAGAAAACCAAATGGAATACTCTGAAGCGTAGGTTAAAGCTTCTGATTTACTTAATAATGATGGGAGCTGTTAAAGGGATGTCTGTCCCAACAATCCATAGCCCTCAGAGAATTGCAACAGTTTTACATAGCATTGGTATATTATTCAAATCTAGTAAATTGTAAGTATTGGCAACTAAACCATTATGACTAAAACAAGTGATTATATTCGCCTTTTGGCTCCAAAGGGCCTGTGTTCTGATTTCTTTGAATGTTGTTTCATCATTTCCCCTGAATAACAAAGATACTATGTTATATCTTCCTTATAAAGATAAAAAATAACATTTATGTTATCTATACAAATGTCAGGTTATATATAGCTGATAATAAAATATCTCAGTTGGAAGATCTTAAAAAAAGTTTTATAACTGTTGATCTGTTTTCTTTATATAATGTGTGAAATATTGGGGGGGGGGGACTATCATGTAATCAGCCACTCCTTTTTCTAACAGCTGACAAGTCTCACTTATTTAGTGTGAATTTTCTTAGACTTTTGAGATGGAATGAAATCTTAAAGAAACTCAGACCTATAGATGTTACTAAATGGGAAAATAAGTTTTACATAAGTTTTTTCCCATGCTATAGTAAGGAAGTGTAACAATATAAAAATATATTTTGTACAGTGAGAAACTTGGCTTGTAAAAAGAATTGCAAGCATATTTGTTTTATAATCATTGATGGAAAAGCCATAAACACTTTTACTAATTACTATTCCTGCTGAATTTTCTTTGGTGAACTAAAAGTATTCTGTTTTCATTATTATTGTTATTAATTTTTACTTATTTACTAAGTTAATATACTTTTTAAATGGTTGTTGTTGTTGTTGTTATTATTATTATTATTATTATTATTTAACTTCAGATTGCCAAACTGCCTATCTTCAGCTGATAATTATAGGAAAAATATGATAAATGATATGGAATCCTCTTCATAGCTATAATTAGCCTTGCCACAACATGACTGAATCTCTCACAACCTCATTACAATAATCAGGTTAGTTCTAATCTGTTTTTAAACTTTTTTGCAACTTTCTTTAAAGTTTGATGCACCAAAGGGTGCCTCCTGGCAGTTTATTCAACCTTACTGATGCTATTTTGTCTGATGCCAGTTTGAAATTCAACTGTTTTTAATAGTTTTGGAAGATTAAGTTGAAGCTCCTCAGCTGGATTTTAAAAAATCAATTTTTTTTGTTTTTTGTTTACTATGGATCTTGAAATAATGAGCTTGAATTATCTGATTTTTGTAAAATGCTGAAGGTTGCTTTTAAATGGAAAATAATTTAATACGCATTCTAGATACAAAATTAGGACTTTCAAGTTGGTTTTGATTTCTGACTACTTTCTGTACAGTTTTCTTGGCAGTGTTTATCAAAAGTGGCTTACTGTTCCTTATTCTTAGGGTTGAAAGAGAATGACTGGTCCAAAGTCAGTCAGCTGGGTTTGTGCCTCAGGCAAGAATAGAATACAAAGTACTCTGATTTGTAAACTGATGCCTTAAACATTACATCAAACTGGTTTATAGAGAATTTTTCATAAAGGATATCACATTCTTTGTTCATAATGAGAACACTGGTGGAGATGTTTGTCAGCTATTGCTGATAAAAAGCATGATATTCCCCTGACTGCTGCTGAGAATGCTAGCTGGCAATTGTCTGTTACTGAAAGTGGAGACTGACTTCCAGTTTGTTTGCTGCTGATTTTGTAACTGATTTTTATCAATTTGAAATAATAAGAAGTCACATAGTGTATTTACAAATAGCAAAGTGATCTTGAGACTTCTGCAATTCATTTAAAATGTATCACCTCTAAGATGTGTACACCAACACCATTATGAATAAAATACACACTGTGGAAAAATTCACTCAAAACGTATAAGTAGCTGATGCTGAGGAAGTTTTTGTTTTGTTTTTTGTTTTTTTTCAAAACAAAGAAGTAAAATAAATGAATTGAGGGTCAGAAAGAAGTAAACTAGACTTTCACATAGAGACAAACAGTGGATTAGATCAACAAACAGATGGATTTTACTTATATACAGATTTAGGTAGCAATAGGATTAGACAAAAGAATAAATGGTCTACAAGGACCCCAATCAAGGGCAACAGAAAAATCTCTCATAATCCAAATGGAATAAATTAAATGAAGGCAAAGGAGTGTTTCATTCCCACAAAGTTCCAAATAGCAGGAAAAGGTACATTTTCTTTTCTTTTAAATGTATTCTGTGTGAGTACTTAATTGAGTTTTACTCTGGATCATGTATCACCAAGAATATAACATTTTTATATGGCTTTAAATCTTATGTAATTTGATGTAACCTATAGCAAGTCCTAATTACAAGTCCCTTACCTTGTCACAATAACTCAGAACAGCTTGTTCTTGTAGCTCCTCTCAAGCAATTGCTGAAATTTCTCTCAACAATCATATCAGCACTTGAGCTGTGAATGGCTATTGGCCCATATGGTCACACTTCTAATGGATGTATGATTCTAGTATGCTTAGAATTTGCCATCTGTTGGTTCCTACTGAGTATCAATTGTATCATAAGGATTTAAAATTTAAAACTGAATTAATTTCGGAGACAATTTTCTTGGATATATTCTTTTATGAAGATCATATAAAGCAATATTTGTTGGTCTAAAGCTCACATAATTTTTCTTAAATAATGATCCTATTGTGTTTTGCATTTTGCTGGCTTTGTGCTTTAAATCCATAAGTCACAAAAATTTATTTGCATGTGTAATACTTAAGATATTTTGCAATAATACAAAAAACGATTCATTAATATATTTTATGAACTATGGGCACAATTTACCAATTTGTGAGCTAAATTCACAGGGTTTAGAACTCATGAAAATTTGATGCTTTCTCAAATGTTTTAATAAGTATTTTTTTAAAAAAAGACAAATAATTTTATTACTATTCATTATTCAAATTCATAACATGTAAACTATTTCTAAATTAATACACATAAAATTATGCTTATTTTTAAATTACTATTATCAGTTTCAAAACTATTATAATAGTTCACTATTCATCTCTGTTAATAGTTCATTGGTTTTTTTTGGGTTGGAACAGATTCTAATCCAAGTTTTTAAAACTTTGTGAAAAGCCACAGGGTTGGCATCTGCATCTTATTAGCTCTGCTATTTGCATCATAATAGCTTAGCATCATGAAAGTTTCAAGGCTTTTGCAATGTATTGATACTATAGAGAGAATAAGCAGAAATGGCAAGTAGATTTGTCATATTCTTACAAAAATGTGTATTATATGAATATCAGCCATCAGCCATTATCAATTCTTAGTGACCATATACAATCAATATTCTCCATAGTGATGTTCCTTCATGTCACATCCTACTTTTTTATATCTTCCCATGACATATTATTTGTGTTATGTCCTGGGCCTGCTGAATGACTCAGCAGGCTCAGGAGGCTGCAGAAGGCCCGGGCAGACCATGTGGTTGCCTGGGACCAGACAGGCTGTCTCCAGCCTTGTGAGCATGTGCAAGGTGGGAGACTAGCCTTGCATTGATAGGCTGATGCTGTCCCTGCAAAGGGAGTATAAAAGGGCCAGTGCCATTTTGTTTACTGTTCTGTTCTGCTTGTGATCTCAATAAAGAAGTTTTGTTATTCCTGCCTCGCTTTGATGTCTCTGATTCTAAAACAGAACATTGGCGATGAAGGTGGGATAGGCTGCAAGAAGAACAACAGGAGAAGCTAGGCTGACTTACCAGAGGAGGCCTGAAGCGCTGGGAAGTTCGGCGTCCAGAGGAAGCGATTGCCTGCCAATATGAGAATGCTGGAGGTGAGCTCAGCTTTGTGGGACCCTTTCTCATACCTTGCAGCAAGAGGCATCGAAGAGGCTTCAGGCTGTAATGATGTCAAAGCTAGGCCGTCTATCGGAATTTGATACTTCTCACCCTGAGCACTGAAGCTCCTACGTGACTCGAGTAGAGAATTACTTTTGAGTAAACAAAATCCAAGAAGATGGCCTTAAAGTTGCTACATTGCTGTGTGTCTATGGGCAAGAGACTTTCGATATTGCATAGAATCTTTTTTTTTTATTGAAAATTTTTAAAATTTTACAAAAAAGTTCCCTTCCCCGAACCCTCCCAACCCATCCCAACCTTCCCCCAACCTTCCCAGAGCTGAATACAGGCTTGATTAAAATTTAAAAGAAAAAAATTTAAACACAAATAAACCATATACAAATTTAGTTACAATAATTAAACAAATCACAAAATACTTTAACACCAATACTTAAAAAACAGAAAGAGAAAAAGAAAAGAAACAAGAAAAAGAAGAAGAAAGAGAAAAAAAAATTAGAAAAAGAGAAAAAAAAATATCTAAAAAGATATTGCATAGAATCTTGTAGCCCCAGCATCACTGGAATCAATTTTGTATGCTGACTTAAAGAGGATGCTGCGAGAGCACTTCAAACCCAAGCTCTCAGTAATTGCATGGAGCAGAGGGATCAGAGGCCTGATGAGTCTGCTGCAGACTTTGTTGCTGCCTTAAGACAAGCAGCTAGACCTTGTGCATTCAAGGATCTAGAAGAGAGGCTGCAGGATCGTTTAGTTTGTGGGCTTCAGAGTCGTGAGCTGCAACAGAAACTTTTTGCAAAAGAAGATGTGTCATTCCAAGATGCATTAAGAGAGATTGCAACTGAAGAAGCAGCGGGCGGAGTGGTGAAAGCCTTGAGGCTTGCCAAGAACCCCCCAATGCCTAGTACCGTCCATCAAGAGGTCGCTCGGGAGGATTCCGAAGAGGAGCCAGAGATGGAGGTAGACATGCTTCAGCAGCAAGCAGGAAGAAGGCCTCAGGAAGATAGACAACAGACAACCTCAGTCCCTTGGTGTTTCGGGTGTGGAGGTCGGAACAAGTAATCTAACTGCCGGTTCCGCTCCGCTTTCTGCCAGGCATGTGGAAGGCAAAGTCACATTGCCTCCATCTGTTTGGGTCACCAGAAGAACTGGTCTCCAGAAGAATTGCCTCTGAAAGGTACCAAGGTCCCCAGCCAAAACAGGGTTGGCTTCTGCGTGTCCCATAGCGGCGTTTTCAAAACCAGGGTTCACAGGCCACTTAAAAAGAAGCTTCACATTGATGTGAAGTTGCAAGGGATTCCCTTGTCGATGGAGTTGGACACAGGGTCCACTCTATTGATCATTTCCTTAGATACCTTTAATAAGGTTTGCAGCAGAAGTGGCCTACAAGTTAAACTCAGACCTTCAAATTTAATCCTTACTGACTTCCAGAATTCCAGAGTCAGCGTGAAGGGGGAGGCCACGATCAAGGTGCAGCATAGGAGTTTTGAAGGGCTGCTAGATGTGGTGGTAGTTGGGGGTGATCATACAAATCTTATTGGACTCGATTGGTTCGAGGCCCTTGGAATTCAAGTGACTGGACTTCACAATCTGCAAACATCCGGCCTTGCAGAAGTTTGCAAGGAGTTTGCTGATGTGTTCAGTTCAGAGCTTGGCTTGTACAAGAGGCCTCTCATTGCTTTACGTTTAGACCAGCCATCACACCCATCGGGATCAAGCCCCGAAGGGTGCCTTTTGCCCTAAAGAACAAAATAGATGCAGAGCTGGACAAGCTGCTCCAGCAGGGCATCTTAGAATCTGTGGACTCTAGTCCCCTATAGTCACGCCACTGAAGGCCAATGGAGAAGTCCATTGTATAATGGACTATAAATGTACATTATATACAATGGAGAATATACAATGGAGAAGTCCATTGTATAATGGACTATAAATGTACACTAAATAAGGCATTGCAGCAGCATGCTTACCCAGTGCCTGTGGTGAGCCACATTCTGGCCTCACTCAGGGGGGGGGGCAAATCTTTGCACAGCTTGATTTGGCTCAGGCCTATCAACAGCTACCTGTTGATGAGGCAACGGCTGAGGCCCAAACAATTGTGATGCACTGGGGAGCCTTTAAGGTAAAAAGGCTGCAGTTTGGGGTTAATGTGACCCCTGGAATATTCCAGAGTGTGATGGAGTGAACGCTCCATGGTATTCCTGGGGTCTGTCCCTACTTTGATGATGTCCTCATTGCTGGAGACTCATCTGTGAACTTAGCTGAAAGGCTGAGGGCTGTCTTGCTGTGTTTCCGCCAAGCAGGGCTGAAGCTGAAACAAGACAAATGTAAGATTGGAGTTACCTCCACTGAATTTCTGCAGTTCCATATTGATGCTGAAGGAATCCATCCTGCTGAATCCAAACTCAAAGCAATTCAGCAGGCCCCAAGTCCCAAGATCAAAAGCGAACTTCAGGCCTTTCTGAGACTGTTAAACTTTTACCATGCATTTCTACCTCACAAGGCCGCAGTGGCTGAGCCATTACACCAGCTCTTGGATAAACAGGCTTCTTGGCAATGGACACAAGTCCATGAAAAGAGCTTTTCAGAGTCAAGGCCTTGCTTTCCTCAAATGCTGTGTTAGCTCATTTCAATGAGCAATTGTCTATATGCATAGCCTGTGATGCATCCCCTTATGGGGTTGGGGCTGTGCTGAGCCACCTCAAGGCTGATGGGATGAAGGTCCCTGTGGCCTACTACTCCAGAACTCTCTCATCTGCAGAGCGTAATTATGCACAGATTGACCGAGAAGCCTTGGCAATAGTGGCTGGCATAAAGAATTTCCATGATTTCTTATAAGACTGCCATTTCACGGTCTACACAGACCATAAGCCTCTGCTGGATTTGTTTACAACAAACAAACAAACTCCTCATATAATATCCCCTAGAATGCTGAGATGATCAATTTTCCTGTCAGCATATGACTATACTCTGGTCCACAAACCAGGTAAAGAAATGGGCCATGCAGATGGCCTCAGCAGATTAGGTAGATCCTGCCCCTGCTCTTCGCATTCTCTCTATTCAGGAATTGCCTGAATTTCCCCTCAATGCTAGGGATGTGGCTGCAGAAACTGCCTCTGATCACACTCTTACACGTGTGCTGACATGAGTGTTGTCAGGGTGGCCTGACACATGTCCAGGGTCTGAATTCCAGAGTTTCTGGCAGAGGAAACACGAGTTTTCCACTTTCAAGGGGTGTGTCTTGTGGGGAAGCAGGGTAGTCATCCCAGCCTCATTGAGGACTAGAGTTTTACAATCTTTACATGAAGGTCATCTGGAATTGTCCGGATGAAGGCGCTTGCGCATAGCCATCTATGGTGGCCTGGGCTCAATAAAGAGATCGAGACCCAGGTTCATGGGTACCAAGTGTGCCAACAGTCAAGGTCTGAAATGCCTCATGCCCCTGTACATAGAGCCGAGGTGGTGCAGCAGTTAGAGTGCAGTACTGCAGGCCACTTTAGCTGACTGTGTTCAGCAGGTCAGCGGTTCAAATCTCACCAGCTCAAGGTTGACTCAGCCTTCCATCCTTCCAGGGTAGGTAAAATGAGGACCCAGATTGTTGGGGGCATATATATATATATATTGCTTACTGGTGTACACCGCTTAGAGAGTGCTTGCACTTAAAGCAGTATATAAGTCTCATAAATAAATAAATAAATAAATAGGTGGGAGGAGACACATACTCCATGGTCGAGGGTACACATCGACTATGCTGGGCCCGTTTAGGGCCAATTCTTCCTTCTCCTCATGGACGGCCATTCCAATTGGCTAGAGGTTGTTCCTGTCTCCTCCACTACTACTGCTAGGACCATCCAGGTGCTGAGAGGAATCTTTGCCTCACATGGTCTTCCAGACATCCTTGTCTCCGGCAACGGACTCCAATTCATGTCTTCTGAGTTTCAGGCTTTTCTTCAAGCCAACATGATCCGGCATGCCACATCTGCGCCATTCCATCCAGCTTCCAACGGCCAGGCTGAGCATATGGTGCGTACTACCAAAGATGCTTTAAAGAGAATCACTCACGGCAACTGGCATCACAGGTTAGCTGACTTTCTTCTTTGCCACCACACCACACTTTGTACTGCCACTGGGAAGAGCCCAGCTGAACTCCGCTGGGGTCGCAGACTCATTACCAAACTGGACAGGTTGCACCCAGACCAGGTGGCTTCACAAGTGTCACAGATGCGAGCACCTAGGAGACTACAGGTGGGCAATCTGGTCTGGGCAAGGAACTATGGACCTGGACATCTCTGGGTAACCACAGTGGTATCCAAGGTCTCTGGGCCACTGTCATACGAAGTGGCCTTGGATGATGGTTGTGTGTTAAGGCGGCACATTGATCAACTATGCTGGAGGCTTCCCAGCAACACTTCTGCTCCTGCCTCTGCTCTCGGGGGGGGGAGGAACACCACGATTACAATCTTGGACCACAGTCTCTCCATGAAAATGGGGATACACTGGCTCCAGAAGGGGGTTCTGCTTACGAGGTGGCTCCTGACTCGGCCACTGGGTCTATGGATTTGACCAGTCAACTGGCACTACAGGCTTCTCCATCTGCTGGTCTTGGGCTCACGGGACAGTGCTCCCAAGAGGGGTCCATTGTGGACTCGGGGAATTCCACCCTGCCAAGGAACTCTGGGCTGGGGTTACAGGCTCTGGCCAATCAGTACGATGGAGGGTTGCCGGATTCAAGGGGGCATCTACGTCCTGGTCTGCCAAGCCTGGCAGGCGAGCTCTTAGGCCAGGCGCCCACAACAGTTCTAAGAAGATCAGAGTGAGCAAGGAGTCCCCAAGCATTTACAACACTATGTAAGGTTCTTGTCAATTCCAGGACAGGCCTAATAGTCTTGTGAAAAAATAGAATGTATGTAAGGGAGGCTTAATATTTCTCTTGAACTAAGGGCACACTCAGAGTTGGGGTG